AAATAGGAACGAATACCGAGACATAATAATACTTGTATATAGATTATTTAAAAGGGATAAGTTGAAGTATTAGCTGAGAAGCTAGTTTCCCGTGAGTCTTCCACCTAAATCAAGTGAGTGCATAGTTACTTTCATGAACATGATTTTAATACAAGTATTTATTAAAAGTATTAAATATATGTTGAACGTTTATATGTGAATCAAATGCTTATTATCTGGAATATGTGTTAGATGTATATTTGATGACATACACTGTGCGAACCGGATATGGTTATATATGTGTTAAGGTGTATATATATTATTACATGATAATCTTAATAGAAATATTATTACTTAAAGATTAAATGTATATTAAATGCCTAACACTTTGTGTTAAGTATATATACACTAAGTTATGATAGTGTTGTCTAAATAGAGTAAATATTAGAAGTTGATTACATGGATTGTAGTATAGTCTAGTTTCTAAACTAAGACATATAAAGGATACTTAGATCCAATTAAGTTGGATAATTGTATAGTTGCATACTGTATTGCGATAATATGGCATGAACAGAAAAACGGTTTTGGATGTTGATTGTAAGCATTATAGTCTTTCATAGTGATGGTGTAAGACTTACAAATGATTCTTAGTTCGAGTTAAGTTAGAAAGGATTAGTAATACCTATTTTGTAAAGATATTACATAGGTAGAAAATTTGTGATAGAGGTTGATTACGGATATTGTAATCTCGTCTAGTCATACATTGAGACTTAAAATGGATGCTTAGTTCAATTAAGTTTGGATATTTGGTAGCATCATATTAAGAGTTTTTGAGATTGGAACGGAGGGTATAACTCTGTTCGATAACATTAATGATCGGTGGGGTACGGGAGCATACTGGAGTACTATATTAGTATTCCTCATCCTTTTTAGACAACTAGAAATGGTATGTTTGTGACAAGCAGTTGTTAGGCACCTGGGTGACTAGTCATATACTGAAGTGGGATGATGACCACTGATTAAACCCAATCTTATGGCATGCGGTAGTGGAAGACTATAAAATTTTATTAAAATGTAAGTTTTACGAAACATCAAAATTCATTATTATATAAAAGAGTATCTTAGTGGAAGACTATAAAATTTTATTAATGCTTCGATGTTGATACAGTCATGCGGGAGCCTTTCCACAGTCTGATGAACAACCTACAAAGTATTTATTCAATAACTGTAAGCAGAGGCTTAGTGAATTCCCTCAAAACATTTACAATGCATACACATAATGTCCTTCAACATATAGTTGGTCCGCCCTATCTTGCTTATAGCATATAGTTGGACTGCACTTTGAACTTTAGTATAAAGCTAGTCTGCCCGAGTCTACTGGCCTTCAGCTCAAGGCTGGTGCACCCTCAAATCTATATATAATCACATACACATATAACAACAGTCCACATAACTGGCAACTAACTATCCTAGCCTAATTGCTTGAGTGCATACTACATGGTAGCTATATCCTAACATATAGAAGATACATATTGGAGTATACAATATAGTGAGAAGAACTCACCCGATGGTTGAGGGGCCTGGGTATTCCAACCCAATGGTTGACTGAACCCATAGTATGTTGGCATTCCAACATGATGGTTGAGGGGCCTGGGGTATTCCAACCCGATGGTTGACTGGACCCATAGTATGTTGGCATTCCAACCAATGGTTGAGGGGCATGGGGTATTCCAACCAGATGGTTGATTGGACCCATAGTATGTTGTTATTATATATGTGTTGTTTTGTTGGGTGTTGGTATTATGGGGGAACCCACTAAGCTTTGTGCTTACAGTTTTTGGTTTATGGTTTCAGGTATTTCAGAGAATCGTAGCAAGGCGAAGGCGTGGCCGTACACATCCTGATTTTATGTCATTGATCTTGGGAGACACTGATTTTTTAAAATTTTTTGAGAACATTAATTTTGTAAACATTTTTATTAGTAAAAGGGTCGTTTTGAAAAGTTTAAAATTATTGAAATTTTTAGGGTGTTACAGATTGGTATCAGAACCTTGGTCTGAGTGAATTGGAGGAACACTTGTGTGAATCCAATCTCAAACTAAGGAAAAAGATTTTAAAAGTGCTTTTAAAATTATTTCCAAAATAATCAAAAGGGATGCGATGTGTACGATCAGCCGGAGCCAGTAAGTAGACCCTAAATTACCACACTATTATTTGATCTTGTGATATGATAAAACATCATGCAAGTGATAGGATAGGGATCTTCAGGAATTGCATGATAGAATTGCCTGATTATATGATGCCTTATCTCTTATAGAATCACTGATTGATTATTGTATGACTCTTTTGCGTGTGAACTGGCTATTGATACGCTAAGTCACATGCTACATGGTTTAAATGATCTTAGGATAATGGGTTTGGTCCTGCTGCACAACTCTTGCCTGAGTCCAACCGTTGTGGGATTGAATCTTTTAGCCTAAGATTGTTTAAATTGTGGTGCATGTGATTGTATTCATGCGATAGTCATCTGGCACCAATGGAGATTCGTGTGGCAGTTAGTGGTTTGTTGAGTCGTGTGGGGTCAGCCGGCCAGTTGCGTTTTGGGATGAGGAGGCAGTGGTTTCCTTAGAATGGGTACGGTTCATGGCGGGTCAGCGTTAGGAATGATTAGCCACTCTTGAGAGGGTGAGGGCAAGGCGAAGGTTCGCTCGAGATGCTGGGAGTTTGAGATCGAGAGTTTCGTATGAGGATTTATCTGATTTTGTGTGTTTTAGTACCAGTCGGCCCCTCTACTCGAATGCTGCTTGATTTGTGCTTGGTATAACCCATGTTGATGAGAGTTAACCATCAAATGAATACATTAAATTACATGCTATGAAGGTTAAATAATATTATAATGATGGACTTGGACCTATTGCGCAGCTCTTGTCTGAGTCCAACCGCTGTAGGGTTGAGTCCTTTAGTCAATGGATTATTTAAGCTTTGTTGCATGTAATTGTATTCATGAAGTGGTTAGTTGGCATCGGTAGGGGTTCTTCAGCAGCTGATGGCAGAGGAGGTATGAGTGGAATCCTAGAAGAGCTTAAGGAGTATGTTAGTGCGGTTGTTTCATTTTGGATCAGGTGCCGGGAGTATCTTTTGGGTAGGTCCTGTAGGACTCGAGATGATCCTTGAGGAAAGTATGGCTAGGTGTGGAAGGTAGTTTTGGGCCTGTACTACTGGAAGCACAGGATCCATACTCGAATCAAGGAGAGTCTCGGGGATTCTAAGGACTGGTCGGGGTGATAACATGGTTTGATACCATGATTCTGTTGGGTTATGATCAAAACAACAATCCTATGGTGTACATGCAAACCCTAAAGCTTTGGATCTAGTTTTTCTAATTGTACATGCAATAATCATCCAAAGCTCATGAAACCTAACTCTAGCATACAAAAATCGAAATCAACATAAATAAACAAGTAAGAATGTTACCTTTCAATTGTAGCTTGATAACCTTGAGCTTTTGAGAACCTAGCACCTCAAATGCGATGCCTCTAATAGATCACAAACACCAAAGCAATTGGAGAATATTAGAGAGAGAGGGGAAAGGCTATTTTCGGCTCTAGGAATCCTTCTAGGGTTGTGGTAGCCGAAAATATGAAGCCAAGGGGGTCTTTATATAGGTGGGGAATTAGGATTTCAGTCAAAGACCTAATCCGGTTGCTTAGGCTCTAAGCAGCCCATAAGAATCTTCCAGAACTCTAGCCTTGGACGAAATCCTTATGGGCTCCCATAAGATTTCGTCCACCCTTTTCAAAAGGGTTCCTTAGCCCATTTTGCAATTATCTTATAATTACAACTCCAATCCCCTTAATTCAATTAACCTCTTTTGACCACAAAACTAATTCTAAATTAATATTTTGACCAATGTTAATTAAATAATATGATTTCTCTTTTAATATATTATTCTCATAATATATTAATAAACCATAATAAACCACTTTCTCCATTATTCATCCAGTCAAGTTGCTTTGGTGAAGGCAACCCAAAAGGACCATGCTACTATCGGGTCAAGTACATACCAAATATAGTTATGGGCTTAGACACCTAATCCAACAGTCTCCCACTTGGATAAGTCTAATAGCTATAAATGCAAGTACGACTTCAAAATCCGATTAGCAATCGTAGCTCTCAAAAGTCATTGTCGAACTCTGACACGTCCTTTAGATAAGGGATCGTATAATCCTCCGTTCCCAAGATATCGTGTGGACAAATACATGGAACATAGTCATACTTATTGTCCAGCAGTTTGTTTCCCGATTTCTGACTTTTCTGACATAGAACTTAATTGAACACATCAATTTAGTCCTGACCGGGCCCGACACATAAATCAAAACAAAATCATCGAGGGGCCCAAGATATCGTTTTTATCCTCGTAGGATAAAAGGAACAGATAAACTTCGACTTATATGCTTCTACTGTTTACTCATCAAATCGTACACAACAATGCGTTTTATAACATCAAGTTACTGATGCATTTACGCATTATCAATGCACAACCGACTTGTAAACAATAACTCTTATATCTAGGTTTAAAAACTATATGATATTATCGTCTCACAATCACTCGTGATTAAATTCCATGAAGTGATTCATGTGAGCGCGGGTTTAATCCAATACTCAAATCTTATTTTAGAAGTACTCATGAACGTTGCAGAAAATCTTTGTTATGTCTAAACGCTTAGACAATCTACAAGCCGATTCACTACAGTCTTAATTCATACTTACTTCCAACGTATGATCGACTGTGGATAGTTTAAATAATCTTATTATTTAGGAAGTCAAAACATGCAACGTGAAACAATAGTAAATAATTAACACAAGACAATAACATTACATATAAATAATACTCCTTTATTTAATCATCAAATTTCAATTACAATTTATCTATTACAAGTTTCTAAAAGCTATCTAATCACTAAAACTAATATCGTCCTTCAGCCCAATGCTCCTAGCGTGCTGCAAGTGCTTAACCCTACTCAGTTCCTTCGTAAGAGGATCTGCTGGGTTATCCTCTGACGAACCCTCTTCACTACGAGGAGTCCCTCTTCTACCCGATGTCTAATGAAATGATATTTTCTGTCGATGTGCCTGGATCTGCCATGATCCCTCGGTTCCTTGGTTAAGGCAACCGCACCTTTGTTATCGCAGAAAATCTCCATAGACTCCTTTATGGCAGGTATAACTCCAAGGTCTCCGATGAAGTTCTTTAGCCATATTGTCTCCTTCAACGCTTCGCTTGCTGCTATGTACTCTGATTCGCACGTTGAATCAACTACGGTCTCCTGCTTGGAACATTTCCATGTCACTGCTCCTCCATTCAGGGTAAAGACCCAGCCCGACTGAGAAAGGAAATTATCTTGTTCGGTCTGAAAACTGGCGTCATTATACCCTCGCACTCTCAAGTCATCGCTCCCACCGAGGACAAGATCCCAATCTTTAGTCCTCCGCAGGTACTTAAGAATGTTCTTTACCGCAGTCCAATGAGCTCTACCAGGGTTCCCTTGATATTTGCTGACTATGCTCAAAGCGAAGGCCGTATCAGGGCGAGTACATGTCATACATACATGATTGATCCAACTGCAGAAGCATAAGGTACTCTGCTCATGTCTGCTGTCTCGACATTAGTACTCAGACTTTGAGTCTTACTCAACTTGGTATTGCTTTGGATTGGTAACTCCCCTTTCTTGGAATTTTCCATGCTAAAACGTTTTAACACTTTATCCAGGTAAGTACTCTGACTAAGTCCTATTAGTCTTTTACTCCTATTTCTCAATATCCTTATCCCCAGAATATAGGCAGCTTCTCTGAGGTCCTTCATAGCGAAGCACTTCCCAAGCCAGGACTTAACTTCCTACAAGGTTGGGATGTCGTTTCCTATGAGTAGTATGTCATCCACATTCAAAACGAGAAAGCTAACTATACTCCCACTGGCTTTGACATATACACAGGACTCATCCTCGCTTCTCGAAAAACCAAACTCTTTGACTTTCTCATCAAAACAAAGATTCCATCTGCAAGATGTTTGTTTCAATCCATAGATGGATTTCTAAAGCTTACCCAGTCTATTAGGATGCTTCACATCGACAAAACCCTCTGGCTGACTCATGTAAACATCTTCAACCAACTTCCCATTTAGTAAGACGGTTTTGACATCCATCTACCATATTTCATAATCATGAAACGCAACTATGGCTAGCATAACCCTTATAGATTTAATCTTCGCTACTGGTGAGAAGGTCTCATCATAGTCAACTCCAGGAGTTTGAGTAAAGCCCTTCGCAACCAATCGCGCCTTATACGTGTGTACTTTCCCATCCATGTCGGTATTTTTCTTGAAGATCTATTTGCACCCGACCGTCTTACGACCTGGCACATTGTCAACCAAGTTCCAAACTTGATTGTCATACATGGATTGAAGCTCTCTGTCCATAGCCTCTTTCCATTTCGCAGACTCCGGGCCTGCCATGGCTTCCTTGTAGTTGTTAGGTTGATCCAAATTTATTAGTGTAATATCACTAATAAACGTATCACCCTCAGCAGTTATATGAAAGCCATATAATACGGGTGGAACACTAACCCTACTGGAACGTCTAAGAGGTAAGGACTCGTCAATTGGTTCAACAGAAGTTTTCTCATCGGGTTGAGCGTCAGTGTTAGAGGTTCCTTCATCGTTTGATTCTTGAAGCTCTTCAAGATCAATTTGCCTCCCACTATCCTCTTGGAATATGAGTTCTCTCTCTCTCTCTCGGAAAACCCCTCTCCTTGCAACGAAGACAACATTGTCACTCGGTATATAGAAGAGATATCCAAAGGACTTCTACGGATAGCCGATGAAAATACACCGCTCACTTCGAGGTTCGAGCTTGTCGTGAGTATCTCGTCTTATGAAAGCCTCGCAACCCCAAACCTTGATATGTGCCAATGAGGGAACCTTCCATGTCCACATCTCGTGAGGTGTTTTGGCAACCTTCTTAGTTGGGACTAGATTAAGGATATGGGCGGCAGTCTCCAAGGCATACCCCCAGAACGAGATAGGTAACAAAGCTTGACTCATCATGGAGCGAACCATGTCCAACAAGGTTCGATTGCGCCTCTCAGCCACACCATTCAACTGCGGTGTCGTAGGTGGCGTCAATTGCGAAACAATTCTGCATTCCTTGAGGTAGTCGTGGAATTCAATACTAAGGTACTCACCTTCTCGATCGGACTGGAGCATCTTAATTTTCCTTCCCAGCTGATTCTCCACTTCTTGCTTAAACTCTTTGAACTTTTCAAAGGTTTCTGACTTGTGCTTGATTAAGTAGATATACCCATATCTGCTATAATCATCGGTAAAAGTCACATAAAAGTGGTTTGCATCCCTTGTGGTGGATCTAAAGGGTCCACATACATTCGTATGTTTGAGATCCAATAAACCCTTACCCCTTTCACAAGTACCAGTCAAGGGTGAATTGGTCATCTTTCCAAGTAAACAAGATTCGCACGTGTCACCCGACTTGAGGTCGAATGACTCTAACACTCCATCCTTTTGGAGTTGGGCTATGCACTTCTTGTTGACATGTCCAAGACGACAATGCCACAAGCATGCTTTGTCCAAACCATTGGACGAATCAATGTGCAATGCATTATTTCCTAAGTTATCTGCAACATTCACAGTTTCATATACTCCATTACAAGGCAATGCTTCAAAATAGAAAGTATCATTCAAGAAAGCATTAATAGAACCAATTTCATTATTAAACGAAAATCTAAAACATTGTATGTACAAACCATGAAAAGAAATAATGTTTCTCGCCATTTCTGACGAGTAGCAACAATCATTCAAATCTAAACCTAACCCACTACTAAGCATTAAAGAGTAAACTCCAATCTTGGTGACAGGCGACGCTTTCCTATTCCCCATGATCAGGTTCATCTTCTCATGCTCCACATCCCTACTTCTTCTTAGACCCTGCAAACCAGAACAAATGTGAAAACCACATCCTGTATCAAGGACCCAAGAACTAGCATGTGATGAGTTGTTAGATTGAATAGTATAAAAACCTACGAAGGAGGGCTTTATCTGCCCATCCTTGATGTCTTGCAGATACTTTGGGCAGCCTCGTTTCCAATGCCCTTTGTCGTGACAATAGAAGCACTCTGCTTCTTTTGGATTGGAAGAAGGAGTAGTAGTACCAGCTTTGGTCCCGCTAGAAGAGGATCTATCATGGGGTTTACCCTTGTGGCTCTTAGAAGGAGCCTTCCTCTTCTTTCCTTTCCCTTGCCCAATAGCCAAGACAGGGGAAACCATAGTAGGAGCAGATGTAACAGATTTGCCTTTCAGACTACTCTCAACAGTCCTTAGTAGGACTTGAAGCTTGCTTAGAGTGACCTCCTCATTGTTCATATGATAGGTCATACGAAACTGGTCATAACAAGGAGGCAACGAGTGTAGAATGATATCTATGGCCAGCTCCTCGTCGAAGTTCACATTCAACTTTAGCAAGCGGTCCACAAACCTTTGCTTTTTCTGCAAGTGGGCCGTGATGGACTCTCCATCCTTCATTTTGGTAGTGATCATCGAGGCAATGATCTCGTACCTCTCCTGCCTAGCACTTTGATGGTACCTTTCCATCAAATATTTATGCATCTCGTATGGATAGTAGTCCTCGTAGGACTTTTGGAGTTCAGCATTCATTGTAGCGAGCATGATGCAATGGACTTTTGTTGCGTCTCTTTCATGAGTTTCGTACGCAGCAATTTCCTCGGGAGTAGCAGTGTTTGCGTTAACCTCCTTCAGCTCCTTGTCAAGAACATACTCTTTGTCCTCGTAACGGGTGACCATGCGAATGTTGTGGATCCAATCATTAAAATTGGTTCCATGAAAGATCACCCTCCCACACAAGTTCATGAGCGAGAATGAGCCAGAAGGGGTCGAGCCAGAAGCGTTGTTGTTTTGAGTAGACATCTGAAATAGAAAAGGAATAAAATTTAGATTAGATAATAATCCCCAATTAAACATCCAAATGAGAAATCAGGGCTAGGACCCAACATAATTATTTACAATTCAGAAGAGGGATGCCGTAATCTAATTGCAAATAATATGAAGGTAGGTAAATGACGATTTACGAATTTCCACCATGAAAAACGAAAAATACAATTAAGTTTTAAATGAATCGAAATTCCTAGATTCTTTTGAGATTCATTGAACTTTTCAATAGCATGTTTAAATCTCGATTATGCCCTTCAAGTTTGTGACTGGGATACCGAGGATCACAAACAAGGTGTGAATAACCATGCAAATGTACTTGGTACTCTCGATGTCATTTACCACCTAATCAATGTGCCGGTTAGCCACACACGCTCCATTGATCTGTGATAAGCATCGAGCTACCCTTTGCAACCTTTGCTAGTCCCAAATTAGTGTGCCGGTTAACTACACACGCTCCATTAACGACTTGGCAAGGTGCAAAGTGCAATTTCATGGAATAACATACATTTTCACATTTTTCCTAAAGTAACTAAGATTGGAAATTTATAAAAACATTTAGTTACTTTATACAATCATTATACTTATTAATGAGGAATTAGTTGTTCTATCCTACCCGTTCGGGTAACGACCCTCCACCAATCAAGGAAGCGGTGGGTGAGAGTGGACACCCATTAAACCACCATTTTATAGGTAGTAACCTTATACCCCCTTATAGATCGGCTTCGTAAATGAGGCCTACTAACGGTAAGACTGACTTATCTTGTACATATATTTAATAATTAATCTTATAATATTATAATAGTATAAGGGTTGAATTTTAAACTTGTAAAATTCTAGGGTTTAGAATTTAAATATTTCAAAATTAAAACTATTGATCAAAAATTTAAATTCCAAAACTTGAGGGAAAGTTTTGAACCTTTTCAAAACCTTATTAGATCAAATAAAAATAATTTAATTAATCAATTAATTTATCATTATCTAGATTTGACCTAATCCAATTTAAGGCAAGATAATTCATATTAAATAATACAAAGATAATTCATCTAAACAAGTAATTATCTCATTATTTAACAATTATCTTCTAATTGGATGAGGATAATCAATACCATATTGAAAAAAGCGGATTTTATCAGTTAAAAACGTTTATGGTAATTATCTCAACCCAATTCTAGTCAAAATCCCGAAAAATCTACTAACAGACGAGCCGACTCGCCGAGTCACAGACTGGACTCGTCGAGTAGCCCTGACTCGTCGAGTTCATTAGGGGACTCGACGAGGTCATCAAGCAGAAGCAAATTTTTCGACTTTTTCAACTTTGAACAATTTAGTTATGCATCAAATACAATAGAAAAACGACCTAGGCTCTTATACCACTGTTGGGTTATGAGCAAAACAACAATCCTATGGTGCACGTGTAAACCCTAAAGCTTTGGATATAGTTTTTCTAATTGTACATGCAATAATCATCCAAATCTCATAAACCCTAACTCTAGCGTACAAAAAATCGAAATCAACATAAATAAACAAGTAAGAAGGTTACATTTCAATTGTAGCTTGATAACCTTGAGCTTTTGAGAACCTAGCACC